ATGGTAGACAGGAGCACCAGATTGTTAAAGAATGAATGGAAAGTCCAGGTTCCCGTACTATGGTAATGGGTTTGACCGGAGTAATCATGAATTGAGTTTGTCGAAAACTCAAAGGTGGAGCACTGGGAGTTGCTGGAGACTTAAATCTGATAGTTGTTGTTCCGTCACTGTTGTCATGCATGGTAGATTTGTAGAAACCAACGGAGTGTCTTTTTGTTTAAGAGACTCGTAACTCGTCACCCAAGGTCGGGGAACAATTTAATCAATATCATCCTGGAAATGCCTGGGAATATTGATGCAATGAGGAGTATTCTGAGGTCAACAGTAAGGAGCAGTGCATCAGTAGTCGTAGGGATAGCGAGATCAAGAGCATGGTCTTGGATTCGCCAAACCATTTGATAATGCAAAGTAGCGCAATACTTCTAGATTAATTCTGCACCACGATCTGTAATTGAACTTTAAGAGCCTTAGAGCAATGAAAATCAGAGGAGACATGTTGAAATTAGGAAACAGCGTCATGATGACGTTCCAGCATTCAAAGTTGTTGTGCTGTCCCGATACAAGCATGTGATATTGGACAAACTATTGTCCAATAAAGCAATTCGAAATGAGACCGGAAGTCCTTTTTGCCATGATAAGAGAGAGCGAGCCGGAGGCCCAAAGTGCACATGAGAGTATCCTTCACGGATCCATTGAGTAATGGATTCTTAAGGGATTTCCAAAGTAACATATTGTTCTTGGGATGTGGCTGGAATTTGACACTTGTCAAATGTGCTAGTCTGGACATACTCTTTGACTGGCTTTCTGGAAGGACAGACAAGAGTTTTAAAGGTTTTAGACAAAGAAGACGTAGACTTGGAAAAGGCGGTGTAAGGATTTACAAGGGGGGATAGTGTCTTGGATTTTTTGATTTTCTGGGATATAAGATATTTCATACAGACTGTCTACTTTAGAAGAAGATCTAGATAAACTAGTATTTATGGGAGCAGTAAACGTAGATAAAGCTGAAGACGATTCCATGGACGTAAATTCAACCTTTGGATGTGTATATCACCTCAAACGGTAAGATAGCATAAGACCCGAAGATTACCTATAAACATAATTTAATAAACAGTGAATAAAACATAACATGAAATAGAGAAAAGAAACATAACCAAAACTAAAGGAGCCAATATCCGAGGGGAGGTAATCCTCCGCCACACAGAAATTGGAACCAATAAGTAACTTAAAGAAGCTAATATCCGAGGGGAGGTAATCCTCGCACACACAGAAATTGGAATCGATAAGTGGCTCTGATACCACAAGGCCATTAAACTTTGTTGGTGGTTAAAACTTGAAAGGATGAGGCTATATGTATAAGCTAATAATACAGTTGAAACAAATCTCTTAGGATAGGTTTGGTTCAGAGAATATTAATTATTATGAATGTTGATTACATGAAAGTTGATTACCTTAAAAATTTTGAGAATTTAGGAAATGTTTGTAGTTGGTGGTAGTATATTAATATGTTGGGGAGGAAATAAATTAGTGGGTATGTTATTAAATTATGAATTGTCCTCTAATTAAATATATATTATATTATTTTTTAATATTGATATTATTTGATTATTACAACCCCCCATTTAAAAACTTAGCAAAAACAACCCATAATAAAAGTTTGAAAAATCAAAGCATCCACACAACCACTGTCGGCCATGGCAACACCACAGGCCATCGGCAGCCGGCAATCAATAGTGCACAGAAGGAGGAAATGGCTCTATACGTCGTATGACCATTTTGCCACGACTGGATAGTTAACGGCCATCATGGTCGTTGCAGCAGATCTGTCACGATCTGGCCATTTTAGGAGCAAATATCTAGCCGAAAATGGCCATATTAGTGCACACAACCATTTTCGGCCTTCCAGAGCCATTACGGCGTGGCGGCGGCTGGCGCACAGTGGTTGCCAGCGGCAGAGGGGGGGGTGGTGGCTTGGGTGGGCTGCAATTTGTTTTGAATTCAAGGTAATTTTGTCAAAAAAGTTAATTAATTGGGGTGAAATAGTAAAAGTCATATTCATGTAAATAAATTTAAAAATAAGGGCATTATTGTCCTAAAATTTATATTAAAGGATATAATTGTAACAGAAAAAGATACCCTGATAAATACTAAAAAATGAGGTAATCATATTATCATATATAACAGTAACTACTATGGTACTTTAAGATTACCGGAATCTTATATTACTTAAACACAAAACTGTAATCAAGTAAATAAGATGACATAACTCCATAATCACATTACCCAACCAAACGCCCTCTTAGGGTCCTGGGAGTTTCATGGTAGCGATATGGAGTAAATTACCGTAACGTTTTAAGGGTAAACCGTAGTGGTTTTTAGGGGTTTTTTTGTAACGGGTTTTAAAACACCCATCCTGTGCTGGGAGTTTATTTTCCAGCGATTCTGACAGTTTTTATAATTATAAATTTATATATATGCCCATAAAAATATCTAACTTCAACCAACACTTGGAGTTTTGTTTTTCATTGCAAGGTAAGGTCTTTATTTGTTTTCTACTTATTAGTATTTATAACTCAAATGTGATAAAGTCTCATTCTCTTCGCCATTCTTTACACATTGGATTATTAAAAATTTAGCCCACTTCTAAGAAAGCATTTAGAAATGAGATTTTAATAATTTTTTTTAATGATTGCTTAAAATTATTATATTTAATATGGTTGGAGGCGCATATATGATTAATTTTTTTTTGGTATAATTGGGTAGTTTTGTAGTGGATAGGGTATTTGTGGAATAAAATTTTAAACCACCAAAACACCCTGATTTTGATGTTTATAAACCCCTCAGAATACATTGCATTGGTTTTGGAGGGTTTTTGAGTTAGTCAAAACTAGAATAAAAAATTTGAAATAAGATTTTAAAACACCTCAAAACTAATCTAATAAAAAGAAAACTCTCAAACATATCTTTAGTTGTCAACTTTGTGATAGGTTGACTCGACGTAAATGGGTTGAGTATAATTCGGCTTGGGTTTAAATTGTTAGACCCGGTTTAACCGAGTAAACAAAACTCAATATCAAGTTTAAAAATAATGAATAGGGTGTTCGGTTCGGGTACCCTGCATTTTTGAAGGAACGAAACGAACTTCCTTGAAATTTGGAACCGGAACCAGAAACTGTACGTTCAGTTCCTAGGTACCCAAAACGAAACTTAACAACGTTCCGGTTCGTTCTGGACCCTTAAAATTCATTACCCCCCAAAAGTTTTTAATGGCAAAAAAACCCTCAAAAACTTACAATACACCTTGGCACTTGTTAACAAAAATAAAATTACAAATAATAAATTCAAAATTCAAAATTACAAACTCCATTACTTGTAAAGGTAGATTCTCAAAAGTCAAACAAATTACTTTAAATGTATAAAATATAAATATAAATGTATTCACATACTTTTTCTACAAAAGTTTTTATTAACCCCCCCACTCTTAATTTTTTTTATAGTCTTGGTTCTCGGTTCGGTTCCTAACTATAGGAATCGAACGCAAATACGGTTCCAAAATTTAGAACCGGAACTACCGTTGACGGCGGTTTGGGTAGGAAATAGAACCAAACCTCGTACCCGCTAGTTTCGGTTCCAATCGTTCTTTTGAACACCCTAAAATGAGAGGTGATTCAAATTGATTAACATGCCCGATAAAATAAATAAATAATGAGTCCTATCAAAACGAACGCAGATGTCAACTCAACAATAATGCAAAAGTAAAATAATGCAGAAGTAGGAACTATTTTCCCAAACTACCCTAATAATAATAAAAAATTTGATAATCTTCTCATACTAATAATAATAATTGTAAATTATATAAGAAATAATCTAAATATCACCATTTCTTTACTATTTAAGATTACTTAATGATATTAATTTTGTTATAATTTATCATTAATTAATAACATTATTATAAATAAATATGTAATATTATAATAAAATAATAAATGTGTTAATAATATAAGTAATTGATATAATATAAAATATTATCATAATTTAAAATAATATAATTATAATAAAGATAATAGATTATATTAATATATTCAAAGACAATGAAAAATTGTAAAACAACTTCCTTCATAATTTTTATTCTTCCAACAAACATAAAATATTTAATTTACTAATTTATTCCAATCTCACTCTAAATTTAATATAATATTTCTAATAATCTTAAATAATTTATTTTCCTTATATAACATTTGCAGATATACAAAATTTTTTGAACAAGCACCTCTATTATTATAATGCACAAGTATAAAACTGAAGGGTAATTTAGAACTTTCAAACTAATGAATAGACATTGGTTAAGAAAATATCTCATTCATGAGAAGAGAGTAATATATATTTAGCATGCCCCTACCATCCTACAAACTTTCCTGAGTTCCTCTACGGTGCTTAAATTACACATAAATGCAATTATCAAATTATCTTCTATTGGAATTGGATTCTTGCTAGTAGGCAAACAATCAAGTAATTGTCAAATACAATCCTAACCCGTTACATCATTAGAGTATTACCATATATTAAAAAACAATAATATTTATGTTTGTTATTATACACTTATTAGAGTTAACACTGTTATATATTGATTACAAATGTAATTTTTACACAAAAAATTCCAATATTTTAGGACGTTATAGTTATGTGTCGTTCACCAGAGACTTAATCACTAGTTCTCATCAATCATTTATAGAAACCTAATAAGTTGATTTTTGTCATCGATTCATCAACTTTTTTAACCTTTAACACTGTCAAACTTCAATAGGACATAAGCCTCTTTTTATTTTTTTTTTGAAAAAATATGAACTATATCAAATAAATGTTATTATAGGAGATGATATATCATATCATTGTACGTTAATATATATGTAACAAGTTCTACAGAAGAGTATACAAATGATATGAATATTTTTATTCTCCCATACTTTCTCCTATACAATTAGGGCTACCGAAATAAAAAACTTCTCAGGATCAGTCCAAGCTTCAGGATCTCTTCCAATTGCCCATACGTTTATAAAAATGCGTGATTTTTTGGGTATGTGGAAGCCGTTTACCGTGCAATCTTCCACGGATTCATGAGGGAGTAACAAAGGAATTACAGGATTGAGCCTCAAGGTTTCTTTCACAACCATGTCTAAGTATTCCAGGTTATCCAAATCTGATTCTTCAACCATCCTGTCAAGTCCCACAACATTTTCCAACTCTTTTTGCACTTTCTTCATAATCTCAGGACGCTTGATGAGTTCCGAAAGCGTCCACTCGATAGTGCTTCCTGAAGTGTCAGTTGCAGCTACAAGCATATCCTGATCACATTCACATCAAGAAAAATAAGATAATTTTAAGATTGTGTGGTATAATCGGATATGAAGATTAGAAATAATTAATAGAAATTCAAGAACAATAAAAGTAATTGGAAACAAAAGAAAATTTGGAACTTTAAATTTTGCAATTAGATTTCACGTCTAACAATTATAGGATTGCTTACCACGAGTATGGCTTTAATGTGGTGTCCCTCAATTTTGTGTTCGGTTTCTTCTGATCCCAAGAAGCTCAACATGACATCAACAAAGTCCTTGTTTCTATTTTCATCCTTGCATTGAACATGCTCATCAATAATATTTTCTAAGAAGTCATCGAACACCTTGGAAACAGCCTTCATGCGCTTTGTCAGCCTCTGGAGATCAAGTGAAGCAATATGCGGAATGTAATCATTCAAGTTGGGCTTGGCTGCCAATGTTGTGGCCTCTTTGATCACAGTTTCGAACCCTCCACCACCAAACTCTTCATCCATATATTTCTTCCCAAACACCATTAGACAAGTCATGTATGCATTGAGAGATGAGACCTTGGCACTTAGATCGATAGCATCTCTAGCAGCAGCAGCCTCTTTTATGTAGCCTATCAAGAGATCGAGTTCTTGCTTTCTCATGGTCCCGAAAGCACCAATCCTAGAGTGGCTAAGAAGTTCCAGGGTGCAAATCTTGCGAACGGTTCGCCAATATGATCCATAGGGACTAAAAGAGAGATTATTTTGCCCATAACATATGTACTTTAAAGCTTCGACAGGAGGCCTGCTGGCAAAAACAAGGTCATGAGTCTTCAGAAACTGCTCAGCAGCGTGAGGTGATGAGACTACAACAGTTGGACTCAAGCCTAAACGTAAGAAGATGATACAGCCATATTTTTTGGAAAGTTGATGAAAATCTTTGTGAGTAAACTTCCCTAACAAATGAAGGCTTCCGAAAATCGGGAACCCTCTTGGACCAGGAGGTAACCTATGACTCTTTGTACTTGATCTTCTCCATTTCAATGCTTGCAGGAAGAAGAAAAGAGCCAAAACTAGTGCCAGCAAGGTCCATGTCCAGGACATAATTAAGCTGGCTGTAAGAATCCCAGGATCGAATGCAGAAAAATCCAGAAATAACACTTCCCAGAGAAACAAACAGATAAACTTGAGAGAAAAACAGAATTTTCCAAAACTGGAAATTTTATTAACATCTGCTGTACTTACAGACTGATTCTTGAACTGTTTTTATACTAAAAAAGAGTCCACGTTGGAAATCCGTGTGACTCTTACAGATTAACAAACACCGTTGATTAAAAAGAAGCACAAATTGACTGTATTTCAGCCGTTGATCTCTTATCCAACTTGATGAACTTCAGCCGACATAAAAATGAGAACCCAGCAACTTTGATTTGAAACGGCAGCGTTTCCTGAGCTGTTAACAGAGTTGATAACTCCGTTTTTCATTTCAACATAATTTTAACAAACTCTGATAACCACCGTTAATCTAACCATTGGGTTCAGAAAGCTTTTCCGCAAAAACACAAATTCTTTAGCAGCCAAAAGGGAAAACAGGGTCGTAAGAGGAGTTTTGATCTTCCTCTCTGCTTCCTGCTTCCGACTCTAGACTAGGAAGTAATCTATAACTCTTTGTGCTTGATCTTCCCCATTAGTCGAAATGTTCGTAAACTAGGTCAGACACCAAGTTATATAAATAAGAGTAAAGATATGTGAAATATGTTATTTACGTTGTGAATTAGCACAAACAATTATCATGCAGATCAGTTCTTGAACAAACCTTAGTTTCTTGAGAATTAAGGCTTTTGCAAAAAGAACAGTAATGAAAGCTTTAAAAAAATGCAAGGGTTTAAGTAGTTTAGTTCACAATTATCAATTATGTGAACCTTCATCCATTGTTGTTGGTGAAAAATGTTGAAAAAGATTCTTACAACTCAAATGCAAAATTAAAGCAAGCAACAAAAAATAAAGCAAACCAAACACAAGAATTTTAAAGTGGTTCGGCCCAATCAATATAGCCTACGTCCACTATCCACTCAAACAATCCACTAAGCAAAAACTTACAACTGTGCAATTCTTACCCATTTTGGGTAATTACCTTACGGTGAGTGATTGTATTCAATTAAGAAAAAGTTTATACATGCTAACCAGTATTGGAAAAGCTTCAAAAGAACATCTCTTCTTATGGTCGGATGATAAACCCTTTAGTCATTAGGGTTAGTTATATTCAGAGAGTTTTGTGTTCGAGTCGCAAGAGAGATACGTATCATATTTATACAATTACCTTAGTCCATTGGGCCTTGAGGATTAGGCAGACCCTATGTAGGCCTAGATACCTCAAATACCTAAAAAAAAAAGCTTTAGAATCCTAGAACTAGAGGTGTTCAAAAGAACTGGTTGAAACCGGAACCGGTGGGTACCCTGGGTTTGGTTCCGGTTCCTACCCAGGAACCGTCGTCGATGGATAGGTTCCGGTTCCAAATTTTTGGAACAGTTACTGTGCGGTTCCAGTTCCTATAGTTAGGAACCGGAACCAGGAACCGAGACTAATATAAAATAAAATTAAAGATTATGGGGGTTAATAAAACTTTTGCAGAAAAAGTTATGTGAATACATTTATATTTATATTTCATAATATTTAAAGTAAGTTGGTTTGACTTTTGAGAATCTACATTTACAAAGTAATGGAGTTTGTAATTTTGAATTTTGAATTTATAATTTGTAATTTTATTTTTGTTAACAAGTGCCAGGTGGGGGGTATTTGTAAGTTTTTAAGGGTTTTTTTGTCATTTTAAAAACTTTTTGGGGGTCATGTAATTTTATAGGGTACCCAGAACCAGAACCGGAACCGTTGTTACAGGTTCTGGTTCTGGGTACCTAGGAACCGGAACCGTCGGTTTCGGTTCTGGTTCCAAATTTCAAGGAACCGTCGGTTCCGATTCCGGTCCCTTCAAAAAGTATAGGGTACCCAGAACCGAACACCCCTACCTAGAACACATCGAATTGAGTTATGACTCTCTTGTCCCACATATATTAATTACGAAGGAAAATCTACTAATAAAACTAGCTTTAATGAATATATAAGTCTATTTTTTTCCCCAAGAATAATTTAATATTCACGAGAGAAGTAAAGAGATAAGTAGGAATAGCCAAGAGATGTTTGGCTCTACGCGTCACAAGACTAAACTCCTTAGTCATGTCCAATTCACTCGGCATCATCCCATTTGGAAGCAATGCACAAGTTGTGCTACCCCTTGCCTGACCACAGTGTGTCCCAACTGCGATCCAGGGCAGCCTCTGCAGTCAGAACCGAATGGTAGAAACTGAAAGTCATAGCCGCGAAGATCAATTCTACTTCCAAACAAACCTTTCTGGCAAAAAAACTCCTCAGTATCAGTCCAAGCTTCAGGATCTCTTCCAATTGCCCATACATTTATAAAAATGCGTGACTTTTTCTTCGTAAGGAACTAACAAGGGAATTACAGGATGGAGCCTCAAGGTTTCTTTCACAACCATGTCTAAGTATTCCAGGTTCTCCAAATCTGATTCTTCAACCATCCTGTCTAGTCCCACAACACTTTCCAACTCTTTTGCACTTCCTTCAAAATCGCAGGATGCTTGATAAGTTCCGAAAGCGCCGACTCAATAGCGCTTGCGGCTTGCTAAACTGTCACTTGCACCTAAAAACATATCCTGATCACATTTACATGCAGAAATATTCAGAAGATTATCTTTAGATTTAGAAGCTAAACAAATCAAATTCAAATAAATATAATTATTTTTCAGTTCGGTAGTTGGATTTGCTTAGATGAAAATACAAGCACCTGCTGTGGAATATTTTTTTTTTTTTTTTTTAAATTCTGTGGGTTCTTTGTGAGAGTCATGTAAAGACAAAGTAGAGACTTTGGATTCCAATGTGAAAAAATTGAAAGTTCTTGAAGCCACAAAGAAATTAATTAAAATTGAAATATGTAGAGTTATATAATTATAATTAGAGATACAGAAGATTGATAATAACTGCAAATTAAATAAATAAATAAAATTAAGATAAGTGATTCTGGAATTTGATCGCCATCCAAGGGGATATTTAGATGAGCTGAACATTTTTTTTTTTTTTTTTAATAAAATGTACCAAATCTGAAGACGGAACCCAGATGAATCTATTCTCCTGTATTATTTGTCTTCAGTTAGTGGCTTCTATTTCTTATAATAATAATAATAGACTTCCAATTCCAAATGGTTAGGTTACGTTTGGTTAGATTTGCCGTTGAAAGTTATACAATTTAAAAACTTTTTTATTTGATGACATTTATATATTAAAGACGCATTTTTTAACCCGAAGATTGTATTAAAATAAGATGAGTAATAGACAAATAGTACTAGTCAATAAATTTTTACAATTATCACCTATGGGTGGTCAATTAAAACCCTTAAATGTATTATTAAAAAAATTTTAAATTAGATTCACATCGATCCTTAATAGGAGTTAATAGGAGTAAATAGCAGAGATTTATCTGTATTTAACTTTAAAACATTAAAAGGTTAATTGAAGTATACGTAAGTTAATAAAAACTATTAATCATTACATTTTCAATGAGATGGAAAGATTGGATGTGACCCACCAAGATGGATGTTTTTCGCCTTATCCAATAATGATGAAACGTTAATGCTATTTTTTTTTTTTTTTTATTGAATTTGATAGATAAGGTCAACAAAGTAGATCTAGTAGTTTAGGCAGAAAAGCATTTTTTTTTTTTTTTTTAGAAAATCATGGAGTTTATGCATGGGAAACTATGATAGCTAACCTAAGCGGAACTAATCAACACAATGGTCGGTCTAAAAATGGTCAAGGTTCTCCTTTTATCCCACACACACGTACACCCACACAGATTCTAACACCATCTAAAAGGGCTAGTGAATATTAAACAACCACATAAATAGAGAATATGAATATAAAAGAAGAACATGTACATAAATAAAGAACATAAACATAAACATAAATGAAAACATAAATATTAAACATGTTAAAGAACATAAATTAAAACATATATGAGATCTTTTGCTATCTATAACATTTTCAGAGTATTACAACACCCTTGAGGTTGAGAGAAACTTAGAAATATGAAAGAAACATGGAAGAATGGAAGTGAAGATGTGTAGAGAAAGTATGGAAGCGTAGAGAAAATATGGAAAAGAAAGTGAGAGAAATAAACAAAAGTGTTTGCAAAGTTTTACAACAAAGTTCCTCCTCCNTTCTATCTTTTTTCCAAAGCAAAGCTTGGAGGAAGAAGAAGAGAGCAACAAGAGCAAGTGAAGTCCATGTCCAAGACATGATTATGGTGGGAATCTTTTGTTCACAAAGGGCTAAAAGGTTGCTGCTTCTCTCTGGTGGAGAAGACAAATTAAGAGACTGTGAAGAGGTGAACTGGTGCCACTGAAATATTTGTTCAAATCTTGAGAAATGAAGACCGAAGAAAGGACAAATTGGAGATAAGTTCAATTGTGGCTACTTACATTATCACGATTCACGATGCGTTATCTTTTGAGGTAATGTAAAAGCACTCAGAATGACTCGGTAATGAATGCAAACACTCTTAAATTATAATTGCTGAATTTCGGTAATTAGATTTGGTTAGATGAAAAATCCAAACACTTACAATTGAATTATTTTTGTTTCAATTTTGCAAGTTCTTAGTTAACAATGATAATGATTTGTGAAGAGATTCTAAGTTCTGCCGGAGGAACAGTCGGAGTCATGTAAAGACAGACTCAAGACTTCGGATTCCTCAGTGAAAAAATTGAAATTAATTGAGAGTTGGAGATTTAATTATTATTAGAAAAACAGAAGATCGATAATTACTGTAAATTAATTAAAAAAACAGAAGATCGATAATTACTGTAAATTAATCAACTAAAAAGAGATGAGGATGTGTTGTTAAAAAAGCTTTTTTTCTTTTCTCCGAATTTATCTCACTTTTACTCTCAAAACTTGAAATATTAATGCACAATTGTAAAATATAAAAGTAGGCGTATTTTAAATATAATTTTAAGAAAATGACAAAAAATGTAAAATGGGTCAGTATCATTCCATTAAAATTTTGAATATGTCAGTATTTCATATTGGCCGAATATATATTGTGATAGATCACCCTAAATATAAAACATTAATTATCAAATCATATCTTT